GACGCGTGTTAAATAAATATTTTGTACTGAGCGACAATTACAATAACAGAGGTTTCAGTCAAACATTGTATTTTCCAACTCTCTCAGCACTCACCAATGTTGCAACTTCTGGATTTTTTCAAATAAACAGGCACAAGAAAGGTTCTTCTCTATGTGCCGTGTCGCCTACCATAGTGTAGACGACCATGGCCTTCCACAACTTCCTTTCCTTTGTAGCTCTTTAAACATGTCTTTTGGATATTTCTCCTAAAACCCAGCCCCGCCATCCATTTCCTCAAGCACATCAAGTGCTGGCTTTCTCTGTTCCTCTTTCCCTCAAACTGTCCTGTGAGTATCAGATTTTCCAAGCCTTCTTTCCTCATTACGTGCCCCAGAAATTTCAACTGCCTCTTCCTGATGTCATATATAAGTTTCCTTTTTGTTTCCATTTTCTCCAAAACTTCGTCGTTGCTCATATGTTTGGTCCATTGTAGCCTCAGCATGCTTCTGTAGAACCATATTTCTGTTGCTTCAAGTCACTCCTTCATCTTTGAAGAGGTTATCTAGTATTCACTGCCATACAGGAGGACAGATGGTACATAACTGTTCAATACAGATGTCCTTGTTTCTCATGAAGATTTTCTGACTCTTAATCCAATGCTTAGCTTTTAGGGTGCATATTTGGCTATCCGAATATCTGTTCGGATTTCAGTATCGGAATTTTCGTCCAATTTTAGAACCCTTCCAAAATATTTAAATTTTATACTTGTTTGATTTTGGTATCCCCGATTTGTAATTTGCATGTTAAGTTGTCCCTTTTGTTAACAACCGTGCATTTTGCCTTTTTGTATTTTAGTGAGATATAAGATACGCCGGGTCAACTGATATGAAGAATGAACTCTCCATATGTGTTGCTTTCTAGGAACAATTCTTTCTTTGTATGATTTTGACGTATGTATATTTGCCGACATAAAATCCTTCTCGCTGAAAGTTTCATTTGGAGATATTTTTACCATTCATAAGTGACACACGTAAACAACTAAACAGATTTTTTATATTCATGTCTTTATTTTAAGATTGGCGCTTTGGTTTGTTCAGAGCGTCATTTTATCTTGATTGATTCTTTAATTTGGCCTCAGAAGCTTTTCACCATGCGACGGGATATGGCCTTAATCTCATGCCAACCCGAACAAAATGATTGGCTTTTAGACATATTGTAGTCGATCGGTGGGTAGTGTCTTTACCGTCTTTATCTAGACGAAATCAGCAAATATAATTTATTTTTCTTAGTTTGTATTAAAACTTTTGATCAAACAGCAAGCCGTCAAGTAACAGATGTCTCCTTTCCGGGCGGCATTTTTTCCCCCAATCAGCAATGTCAAACTGTGAAGAGAGGTTCTTTTTACTTCCAATTCAAGCAAGTCGAATGACGAATATTCATTAGTTTACTTTGGTTTCCATTTCAACGAGTCTTTCTGTCTTTTTTTTTTTTTTTCATCCACTGAACGCCAATTTTGGAGGACAGCCATTAACTAAACGATTGGAATGTGATCACTATGTCAACAGAACCCAATCATTGACACGGGATAATTTATTAGGTTTTTAATAACAATGCATTTGAGGCTTCGATGAGAGTTAACACGTAAATGTATTTTTCATAGTACGCCCCCTCTCGGATAAGTGCCCCCCCTTCCCCAAATAATTTAGAATAAAGCAGTGCTCTCGAATAAGCGGCGCCCTCGAACAAGCGCCCTAGGTCGACAAAACGAATATATTTCAAAACGAATACATTTCAGAAACATCACCGTCGACAAGACCCCGAACAACCGCCAGTTTGGATGAGTGGATGTCCCATCGAGAACAAACCCAACCTGAAATGGAACATATAGACGATCCATCGCTAAAGATACAGGTAAAATGATCAGCTCCCTGTATCGCTTCAGTAACTACCTGATTCATCATGCTATCATCTAGCGGAATAAGAGCCATCAACAGACCGAAAATGGAGTACTGTTTGCCATATTTGGGCAAGAGCTGCACAGACCTCACTTTCCAGTATCGATAGAGTCAGGAAGCATCTCTGATTCCTTAAAGATTATATATATATATATATATATATATATATATATATATATTTAGTATGAGTGATGAAAACGCGGTTCTCAAGCCACATGCAGGCATTTTGAACTTTAATATGCTGCTCGTGGAAATGTGTTGGCTGAGCTCTGTAAAACAATCATCAGTTAAGATTTTGAAAACATTGAAAACATACATATAATATATATATATATAAGTGCACACTGAAGTCAACACTTAGAGGCGACAAGCTGTTTCATGCTAGACACAATAGTCAGGCCACGTGTGTTGTTTATTCTCGGCTATTTATATATACCTGTCAGTGGTGCATTGTTGGTAGTCCATTTTGGCGGTTTATTTGTGTTAATATATTTTGCTTGTTTTTATTTATATTTATTTTTTATTTATATTTTTATTTTTAATTTTAATTTTTTTCTTATATATTTATTTATTTATTTTAATTTTAATCGGTGTTTTATTAGCGTAGTAAAAATATGTTTATATCGCTTATTTATAGTTTTTGTTTTTGTTTATTTTTTTTTTTGGAAGATAAAGTTATTTATTCAATTTTGGGGTTGATTGCTGTAGTTTATTCAAACTATTATTTTGGCAGAAGAAGTTTTTAATTTGTTTATTACTTCATTTATTTATTTGGTTTGATTATCTTTACATGTTTTTTTCTGACGGTTAATTTATCGGGAGTTGTTTGTTAGTTTCTTTATTTATTTGGATTAATTTAGATTAATTTATTTTACTTGTTTTTTATTATTTATTTATTATAATGTATATTTTTATTTACTCTTTTCAGTTTTCGATTTTTAAGTAACGTAGTATTTTTTATCGTTATATAGCAGTATATTTCTTCATATATATATATATATATATATATATATGCAAACCAAATGTTTTCAAAGTCTTGACTGATGATTGTCTTACAGAGCAGCATATTAAAGTTCAAAGCGCTGCATGTGTCTTGAGAACCGCGTTTTCATCACCCCTAATATATAGTATAGATAACGGTTGCCCGTGAACTGACGCGGTTAAGATTGTAGCGATCAAGAAAGCACTCACACGAGAATTCGTAAAAAGCATTGGGGTTGGGGAGGGTACAGAAAAAGAACAGGATTTTAGGAGACGGTTGACATAGCATTTAAATTTTGAAGATCTAACTTGACAAAATAGCATTTGTTCGGAAGAAAGTTCAACAGGCGAGAAGTGCGAGAGAATAATTATTAGTATCTGTCTATATTTCTGAGATGAAATGTTGTAATTATTTACATTTTTCGTACTGTTGTCCTCCTCTTTATTGTCATGTTCATGACGTTTCGGCCGTTGTACGCTCCGGCCTGCTTTACGTGATTAGAATTTCAAACTGAACTCTTTATTTTATCCACCGGGGTAGATTGTTCTAGTTTTACGGGTCATGCCTCTTCCTGATGTCCTCAAGGACACGTGGCCCAGTGGATAAAAGCGTTTGTTGGATCCCGTGACAAATGATAGACTTATAAAGTTGCAAGACAGATTTTGTCGAGAAAAATTGACTAGCATGACACAGCATGACACTTCATAGCAGCACACTTAGCAATTGGTTCAACGTAATCGTCCGTCCTGGGTAAGACGATAAACTACGTCCGACAGGAATTCCTTTGATCAAGAGGTTTTGAGGAGCGTGGAATCACATCTTAATTGCTGGTGTTCCCATGTCCACCCTGTTAGGGTTCCAGCTATGGGCAAATAGTTAACCCCTAAACTGGGGTCAAAACACTATGAAAGTGTAAAAATAGGTTTTAATACCAGCAATACATTTTTGAAAAAAAAAAATTACCAATGATTCAATTTGAAGAAAAAAATATGACCCGAAATAGATTTTTGAAGAAAAAAATATTACCATCAATACATTTAAAAAAAAAAACAAACAAAAAAAAACAAACTATGCCAACAATAAAAATTTTGTCGGCATTAAATTACCCACTGTGGTGTTGATATGCCGTAAAACAAACCAAACTAAACTAATGTAATCGCACAACTTGTACACTCTTGTGGAAATTAATTATGCAGGAAGATGTGGAGAGCTATGATCTTCTACACCCTTGTGCAAATTAATTGAAATAAAACAAATAATTTCCTTATTATTTATATTTCTTTCGTATTTTTCAAATGAAACATGACCCAGTGAATATGACAGTACTTCGTATGTCCATTCCACGAAGTCTTTCCTTGCAGATTGACTACAGATTCTCGATTGGATTTAAATCAAGAGAGTTTCTGGGCCAGTCGATAGTACTTTGACTTGCTCACTGGTAAGGCTTGCCATTGTGTTTGTTCAGCGTTACAATTTTTGTACGCTTTCTTGGAGTAACATTCATCGCAGACAATGGCTGTAGGACAACTAATCGACAGTCGAGACAATAGTGTCTGGGCGTGATGAAAATCTGATGCAATCACGAATGATGCAATATTTTTCAAGGGCAAACAAATTTCATCATATATCACAAAAATGCATTCATTTTACTGCACATCACTGTAATGAACTAATCTGAGGAAAAAATGGAAATCGATTACAACCTGTCACCCCAGTGAGTCTAAAACTGGCCGTATTGTGAATGAAAGGAAACTAAAGCAGTTGTTTCAATTAATTTGCACAAGGATGTAGGTGCAATGAGTCACTTTCCTGACGGTGGGTGTTTGTTTTTAGAGAAAAAAAAAAAAAGAAATATGTTATATACCGTAGCTATGAACATTAATGGGTATGTGTAAATCCTTATAAATATGTTGGACACTATTGCAAGTTGGGGTAATATTTTAGTAGCCCACCTCTACTAGTGGTTTACCTCCTTCCCGCCGCTGGCGAGTATTGTATTTTATTGATGTTATAAATATTATCATTTCATTTCCAACCTCCGTTTTGGTTATTCGTCATTCAGTAACACTTTTTAGGTTACAACAGATAGATAGATAGATAGATAGATAGATAGATAGATAATGTATAGAAAGGCATAGATAGATAGATAGATAGATAGATAGATAGATAGATAATGTACGGAAAGGCATAGATAGATAGATAGATAGATAGATAGATAGATAGATAGATAGATAGATAGATAGATAATGTACGGAAAGGCATAGATAGATAGATAGATAGATAGATAGATAGATAGATAGATAATGTATAGAAAGGCATAGATAGATAGATGGATAGATAGATAGATAGATAGATAGATAGATAGATAGATAATGTACGGAAAGGTATAGATAGATAGATAGATAGATAGATAGATAGATAGATAGATAGATAGATAGATAGATAGATAATGTACGGAAAGGCATAGATAGATAGATAGATAGATAGATAGATAGATAGATAGCAGACTTAGATAGATAGTATTATATACCGTACCTATGACCACTAATGGGTATGTCCGAATCCTTATAAATATGTTGGACACTATTGTAAGTGGGGGTAATATGCTAAGTAGTACACCATTAGCAGTGGTTTACCTATTCACTCCGCTGGCGAGTATTGTATTTTGTTGATGTTACAGATTACCATTTCATTTCCAACCTCCTTTTTGGTTATTCCTCATTCAGTAACCCTTTCTAGGTTACAGTAAAACGTACAAGAATTTTTGTCACTACTTAAACTGAGCGGTTCGTTCGTCATAGCGGAATTATTTTTTAGAGGGTGGAAATAATTTTCAAATTGACATTAATTTGATTTTGATTAATTGATTTTCTTTTTTTTACGGCTTATTATCATTTAAAACCGAAAAAATATTTTTGTTAAGCAAGATTTTTTTTTGAGATAATTATGATTTTCTGATGCAAATCTTAATATTTAACCCGTAGTTGGGAGAAGAATAGTTAAATTCATATCTTTCCCAAGGGTATTTGCTCATAAGTAAATATAATGAACCCGACTGGAATTCGAACTCTTCTCTACGATTTCTAATTCCGTGCCTTTATCCGTTAATCCACCCGGATATCGAAGGTTACAGCACCTGGTATTACTGAACGGTCACTCATCTAAGTACTGACCAGGTTTAACGTTGCTTAAATTCGTGTTCGGACGAGAACCGTTGTTTGATTATAAATATGGTCGTATGCTATTCATTTGACATTTTCCTACCTACAGCAAATGTCAGAATCGGAAAGTATTTATTTTTTTATCATTTGAGGAGAGGCTTCCTGTTCTTATCATAAATTCACTGTGGAATCGATCAGTGATATTTTAAAGAGTTATCTGTACTTTGTTTTTATTTACAAATGTCAAGTACAACTGATGCTGTCCGTCATTAAAGTACGCAAGTCAATATTGGCATCCCAAATTTCCAGGAATCGGTTCTATAAAGGAAGGCAATCTTTAGGAACCTATTCTGCTTATTTTCTTTTCAATCTGAAAATGGAAACAAACTAATTTATAATATCAAAAAGAATTAAACCTTTTTGAGAATTTAATAAAAAAACATTCATTTAAGATATTTCCAGATTGAAATTCTGTTCTCATTAAATTTCTTTTCAAAAGTATGATACTTTTTGACTGTATTATGGTTTCAAACTGAATTGTACTTTGTTAAATGTTTATCATATACAAACACACACCCTAACATACAATAGACACCAAACACTCAACCTGTTAAATACCATAGCATAAATAAATGTTTACAGTTTCATATTTCATGTCTTTTGCTCTTCTGAGAAGAATTTAGATTTTGAAAAAAAATCCTTTTAGAAAAAAAAGAAAAAATAACGGCTAAAACTTGAATAAGTTTCACAATGACGATTCAGTAAAACATCAAATGATATTACACCAACGTATGTGAGGTTTGTAAAAATATCAAGTTTTCAAATGAGATTTAAATTAAAGAAATTGAAACTATTTACCTTTGGCCGATAAAACACATTCTGCACAGACAACATTGAGACAATAGTTAAAATTTCATCACTGCAAGCCAAGTGTACCGACATGATCAACATTTTCGACAGCATTGGTTCCAGAGGGAATTCAGCCATCTGAGCAACAAGAGAAGATAAAATATTTCAGATAAATTCAAGGCAAATTATTTTTGTTAGGACAGACATCATGACAAGGGAGCCAACTGACTCCCTAAATGGGAACCAACTTATGCCCCTTGATCGGAACTCTCTAGAACAACAGAGAAGAAAAGGTATGAAAAGATAGCAGTTATGCATTCTCACATGTCATGTCTTGAAGTATCAATCTACCAGTAATCACTGGTTAGGTTTTAAAACTATTGTCATCCAACAGAAAATAAAATGTATAAAGGTGCAAATCATTCGTTCTTATTTGGCACAAATAAGCAAACACGTAGCAACACAACAATTTTATCAAATAATGATAACAGAATAAATTATTTGAAACTGTTAATTATCAAACTGAGCCAGATAAGTCATTAACCCTTTTACCTCCCCACCCCTACTCCAAATGTTTCTTTCAACAATGGTCATTATTGGAATTTGTATTGAGAAGATGACTGGTTTATTAAAGCCACCTGCAATGGTCATCTGATTTGTTGTACATTTTCCAAGTAGTATATTAATTGGTATATTGTTGATTTTAGAAATTTCATTGGATCAGTTGCATTCAGTATAATGAATAATGGCATCCCAAATTTCCAGGAACCAGTTCTATAAAGGCAGGTAATCTTTAGGAACCTATTCTGCTTATTTTCTTTTCAATCTGAAAATGGAAACAAACTAATTTATAATATCAAAAAGAATTAAACCTTTTTGACAATTTAATAAAAAAAACATTTATTAATGATATTTCCAGATTGAAATTCTGTTCTCATTAAATTTCTTTTCAAAAGTATGATGCTTTTTTGTTATTAGCTGTGTTATGATTTTTACCTACATTCAACCCTCAGTTTGAATGTAGGTAAGAAATCCTAAAGATCTCTCTCTCTCTCTTTCTCTCTCTCGATTTCACTTATTTTTTTCTAAACAGCTACCGTTATCTATTTAGGTCTTTCTTTTACTCTTTTTCTTCTTCCTCGCTGATTGCTCTTTATTGTTGCGGTAGAGCGCGCTCACGAGCGGAGCGTAACTAACTTTTTTACGTAGACCATCGGCTATTAATATATAAGATTATTTTCGGATAATCCAACAATAGGTTTGCTAAGCTTTTATCATTTTAAGAATCGGTTTGTCGCGAACGGGTAAGATATCATCACTGTATGCCATAAGCACGAACTTGATATATTCCAATATAAACAAAATACAGATAAATCTTTAAGAAGTCAGGGATCATATTGACATTGTGTTTATGTTATGAATAAGACCTCCTTATAAAATGATCAATAATTGGACGCTGAAAATCGGGGATCGAGAAGGGTCTAATTAATGTTCACCTATAAAAACTGTTAAAAATACTCTTCCCTTTATTTTACGAGGGGACCAGTTTATTTAAATAGTGTCAATGGCATCGTTATTTCTTGCAAAATCAATTATCATTAATATCGCGCTTTCTTCTTTGGTACCAAGACTTTATGAATTTAAGCTCAGTACTAGATTGGTGGCAAGGTCTCATCATTTTACTATCGAGATGCCTCGATGTAGCCGTAAGTTCTATGCTAATAAGATCTTCTTTTGTACTTTTGTGGAACTCTCAATCTTTTAAATTTTAAATGCAATGTCAATCGTTATCTTCTGTCTCCTTAATTCCTGTTCTTTTATTTTTTGTTTCTCTCATTAATGTTTTTTTTTCTCATATACTTTCACAATTAGTAAACACCTAGCGTCTTAGTGGCTTTATTACCTTGCTTGGAGAGAAACAAATAAAATTTGTATGCAATTTCACTCGTTATCTTCAGACTTCTTAATCCCTCTTTTACTGTTCTCTCTCCTTAATAATGTTAAGAGTCCAAATAATGTAAATAATGATAATACAAATTTTCACGCTCTGTGCTTATTCAACGATTTCTGGAGGACATACTTAAAATCGTGATAAAATCAGGAGAAGTCAAGATGAAATCAAGAGAAATAAGACAAGAGGACTTGTAGTCAAAAACGAATAAATAATATCTCTAGAAAGTTATATATTTAAATAAACTACAGCAAGATCTTTTCGAAAAGATACAATTTATTCTGTAATCGAGTGAATTTGATTTAGATAAATCTAAATTAAACAAATCAGAACCTTTTCCAATCGTTTTCGATTCTCAACACGTTTAATAAAATTTTGTGATTATAATTACTTTTTAATTCCATAGAAGATTATTTACTCATCAGAATGCTTCCATTTTCGTGTTCTCCAAGAAGATTTAGCAGACATACCATGGCAATCAGTTCCATAATTTTTCTTCCATTTTCTTCCAGTGAGTTTTACATTGTTTTGTTATTTTGTCGTTGTTAAAATTCTTGATTGATCTTCACATGAATTGAAGAGAACACGAGAAAATTTGGAACTCTGTGGTGTCTTATTTTTAACTAATCGATATCTTCTAGCGAAAATATTTTGCGAATTTATATCCTAAATTCTATGATTTTCCGATATTATTAATTCGATTTTAAACAACTTAGAGCCAGGTGAAAATTTGATGGAGTGGTTTGGCAATCCGGGATACTGCGAAGACTGGCTTCAAACGTTTCTGTCAATTTTAATTAGGTTCACATTAAAATCCCACGTTATTAACTCGTGAAAGACTTAAGGAATTTTCTCCAGCAAACTTCGCACCGTTTTATTTCGATATCTTGTAACGGTTCAATTTTTTTTTTTTAGAGCTGAGACGTTGGCGCCACTGGCAAAGGAAATCCGGGAAAGAGTGATTTATGTCCAAACTTATTTCTGAAATATTTCTTTCATTAACAAAGCACATCGCTCCAAAGAAGAAGCGTTTTCTTTTTTTTTTTTTTTTTTTTTTTTTAGTTTTAATCTAATTAGAACCAGTTATCTCCATTTTTATCGAAATTTATTTCTATATTTCTT